ACAAACACAGACCACCATGTGTGGGCAAAGACACACTCAGGAAACACACACCCAACACACATGATCTCCAGTGCACAGCCATGCACACTTGACAGGAACACACACTGACGTGCACAAGAAACACACACAAACACACACTCACACAACACTGGGAAGCACACACTGTCGTCGGCACACAGGCACGCACACATGGCCACACAAATACACACATACACACACATGTAAAACACACACATGGAATAGAAACACACACGGTGCCCGCACACAGGTATATGCACTTGGCCGTGCACGCACACACCCACACTCACACACCCATCCGTGTGCAAATGCATACTCAGGCACACCCACCAACTCACAAGGTCTGTGGCACACAAGCGTGCACACTTGGCCACACACACCAACACATACGTGGGCATGCAAAGACGCAACACATAAACACCCAGGGTCTCTACACAGTGGCACACACAGGTGGCCTAGCAAACACAACACCCGTGCACCTGCAAACACACCCTCCCAATACACACACCAGGACACATGGTCTTCGGGCCAGAGGCATGCACAATTGCCACACAAACACGTGCACATGCAAACTCACAACACCGCACAAACACACATGATCCCCGGCACAGAGGCATGCTCAGGTGGTCGCACGGACCAGCACACACACACGCACGCACGCACACACACAAACACAAACAAACACACACACGTTAGGGATTCGTGAAAGTGCATAATGCCTAGGATAGCCAAAGACGGTGTTGAGGGTGTCCTCTGTCCTGGTGGGATTCCTCTTCCTCCTCAGCTAGAGCCTCATGAGCCCCAGCGCAAGGCCCAGTACCATTCGCAAGAATGCCCCGCCTTCCCCGGACCCTGCCTCGCTCTCCATTTTTTTAGTGGTGCGGGGGATCGCTCTCCATGGGGCCGTGGACCCGAAAGGCAGCAGCCACGGACGGAAGGAGCTGGAGGGGCGACCACGCGGCTCCCACAAGTGGCCGGCAGGTGGAGCTCTGGCGCCCACGGCTGGAGGCCAGCACCTAGCAGAGGCAGCGGGCCTGGGGGATGCATGCGCACAAAGCCTTGGGGCCTGGCGGCGTCTGGGGGGCGGGGCAGGGGGCTCAATGGCCTGGGCGGGATGGAACCACGGCCTCACGCCCAGGATGCTGATCGACCCCGAGAACCAAACAGCGGCTTGGCGGTAGGCGTGGCCACAGCTGGCCTTGTCCCTCGCCCCTGCGGGAGCCAGCCCACCCATGCATCTCCTCAGGGGTGGCGTCTGTGACTGGACCCTGGTCATTTTCTTCGCTGACACCTCCCAGGCCATTCCTGGGAGGTCCCTGCTATCACAAACCTCGTGTTCACCTTCTCATCAGTTCCCCTGGGAACACGCTACTGGCACCGGGGAATTCAAACCCAGCGTTTCAAGAGGGTGTCCGCCCGCCACCCGGAAACCTCTCCCAGCCCCTTCTTACTCACACCGGGGGAAAGCCCTGAAGTCATCAGCTGGTGCTCCAACCACTGCCACATGGCTGTCCACATGGCTTTCCCCCCTTTCCCCGCCCGGTGCGGGAGGGAGTCAGGTGGCCGCCCAGCAGGATCCGGGATGCAGGGACCTCCCTGCCCCAATGACCCGCCTCTCCTAAAAAGAGACGAACCACACACAGATAATTGTCGTGAAATTAACAAGAATCCAAGGTCCGAGGCCACCTCCGTGCTTACACAACCACTGGCACACCCCCGGTGAGGTCCGCGATTGGGATTCCGTGGCATGCTAATGGGCCGGCCAGGTAGCCTAAAGAGTAACTCTGGGTGTGTTCTTTCGTTAAAGCCACTGGTAGGACTCGCTCCCACTATACTTTCCTCTGCCGGCCCTTCATCTTTGCTTTCTCCCTCCGTGTCTGACTTCCGCTCTCCCTTTCCCTGTGTCTTCCTTCCCGCCTCACCATAACTGCCAGGGATGTCCGAGCTCCAGCATAATGGTCCACGGAGCCTGCTTTTATCCGCCTTCCTGAGGAGCTGTGGCTGTCTTGGCTGCCCCAGACCTGCTGCAATTTCTTCCTTGGTCTGTCTGTCACTCAGTGGAGTGCCAGCCAGGGAGGGGATGGCAAAGTGAGCACTGGCAGCACACCCTGCCCTTTCTCCGGTACTCACCAGGTCCTTCGCAACAGTCCCACACCTCATGTTGGTCCGCTGCAGGGATGCATACCGGAATGTGTACGTTGCACGCTGCATGAGGTTCGAGGAAGGCCCAGTGGGTGATGGCAAGGCCGAGGGCATTGGTGTTGCATCATGGGAGGGCCTCAAGAATGTAAGAGGAATGGGTTGGGCCACCCGTGGCAGGAGCAGAGGATTTTGACTGGAAAGAGGCCAGAGGAGCCCCCTTGGGGTGAAGTGCAGGGCTCTGGGCGGTAGCGCCTCACCGTTACAAACTCTACATGTCACCTGATGATGCCTCTTTGCCGGGTATCGTGTGTGTTTGTGCGGTGTATGTGTGTTTGCATGCGCACATCAGTGTGTGTGAAGAGTGCATGCCTGTGCACCGGAGACCATGTATCTTGGTGTGTGTTTCGAGAGTGTGTGTTTGCAGGGGCACGGGTGTGTGCATTTGTGAGGAAACCTCTGTGGTTCAGTGTGTAGGGACCCTGGGTGTTTATGTGTTGCATGGGTGTGTTTGCATTCCCACGTATGTGTTGATGTTTGTGGCCAAGTGTGTATGCTCTGTGCCATAGAACTAGTGAGTTGATGGGTGTTGCCTGAGTGTGTGTTTACACACGGATGGGTGTGTCTGTGTGTGTCTGTGCACATGCGCCCAATGCACATACCTGTGTTCGGGCACCGTGTGTGTTTATATTTCATGCCAATGCATGTTTGCATGCTTCGCATGTGTGTATGTGTGTGGCCAAGGGTGCGTTTCTGTGTGTCGGTGACAGAGTGTACTTCCCAGTGTTGTGTGTGTGTGTCCTTTCATGTGCACATCCGTGTGTGTTCCTGGCAAGTGTGCATGACACTGTACTGGATATCTAATGTGTTGGGTGTGTGTTTCCTGACTGTGTCTTTGCCCGCGCACGGTGGTCTGTGTTTGTGTGACCAAGTGTGCATGGCTGTGTGTGGGGACCGTGTGTGTGTTGTGTGGTGTGTGTGTTTCCTAGTGCACATGAACGTGTGTGTGCGTGCGAGCAGAAATCTGCCTGGCTGTTTGTGTTATTCCATGGATGTATTGCATGTGTGTGTGTTTTCATGCACACCTGGGTGAGTGACTTCCTGAGGGGTACGTATGTATGGACCTGTGCCAGAGACCTTCCGTGTGAGTGTTGAGTGTATGTGTGCTTGCATGCACAAGGGTGTCTGTTGTGTGTCTGTGTGTTTGCAGGCCTTTGGGTGATTGTGTGTGTGTGTGTGTGCGCATCCACGTGTGCATTCTGTAACTACCTGTTCATGCCTCTGTGTTGGATATTGTATGCGTGGGTGGTGTGTATGTGTTGCATTAGCACGTGTGTGTGTATTTGGGTGTTCATGTTTGCATACCTGTGTGACGAAAAAACGTGTGGGTGGGTGTGCACTGCATATATGTGTGTTGGCATGAGCACGCGTGGTGTGTGTGTGTCTGTGGGTGTGGGATCAGCGGTGTATGCCTATGTACTGAAGACCGTGTGTGTTCCTTGAGTGTCTGTGTGCTGTACGGGCTGTGTGTGTGTGTGTGTGAGTGTGTGTCATTGTGTGTGTGAATGTGTATGTGTGTTGCTCCGGGGCCAATTGTGTATTCTTCTGTACTGGAGACCGTTTGTGTATGCTGTGGCTTTGGAATTACAGGTGCAAAAGTGTGTGTGTGTGTGTTGGGAAGCTCACCGCACATGCCTGTGAGCCAGAGACTTTGTGCGGGTGCGTGTAAGTGGGTGTGTGCAGCCACATGCATGCCTGTGGGGCGCAGATTGTGTGTTTGTTGTCTGTGTGTGCGCGTGTGTGAGAGAGAGAGCGCACGGTGCCTGTCTGCATGGGTTTGTGTCTGTGCGTGTGTGTGTGTGTAGCCATGTTCATTCCAGTGTGTTGAGCCTGGGTGTGTGGGTGTGTGTCATGTGCATGTGTTTGCTTGAGCTCGTGTGTGTATTGCGTGTCCCTGTGTTCGTGGGACGTGCGATTGTGACTGTGTGCAGCCACTGGCACATGCCTGTGTGTCGACACTGTATGCGTGTGTGTCATGTGTCCAAGTGTTTGCATGTGCACATGTGTGTATATGTGCGTGTGTAGGACCCAGTCAGAAAAGGAAAGGGACTGCGGGATTTCCAGCTCTGCCAATTATGGAGAAAGGGGCAAGAGGCCAAGGGTAGCCATGTCCCTCCGGACACACAGGCCTCGTGTGCATTCCGTGGTTCTTCAGGAATCTGTCTCCCCTCTCGATGTACAGACGCACAGGGGCCAATGCAAGGAGGGAGGGATGGGATTTGGCAGGCAGGTGTGAGGCACACCACCCATCTGTGCTGATTGCACAGAAGGTTTCAGGTGTGGGAATTAGCTAGTGGTTTCAATCTCCTTCCCAGGCCACACACCTCTTGTCATGTGGTCCCTCTCACCTTCCCGCCCAGGCAAGGGCAATGCCAGAAGTCTGTCATTGCACAAATGTCACCCGGGAGTGGGAGTGGACATGGACAGCATCCACATGAAGGGCGAACAGATAAAAACCACGGTCCAAAGACCGTGGGTGCGCATATGAAATCCACCCTGGTGGAAACGCGTGGAGACCCAGTCGGGCACTCTACCTGTAGATATGTGCATGGTTCTCCCCATTGAGACGGGGGGAGGAGGGCTGTGTCTTCTTGTCGGTGATGCTTGGAGACTGGCTTCCATTGGCACCAGACCAACGGCCCCAAGCCTACTTTGCAGGCTCGAAACCACACTTGGGCATCTCTCACCACATTTATGGGCCAGCTCTGGGGTTGTGATGGCCCGGCTTGATGTTCCGCTCACGGTCTGACCCGGCTGGCCCAGAACGGGGAAGGCTAGGGAGGATGAGTTTTCCTCTTCAGGCCAGACGAGCCAGGAACCCCTTCCCGGGGCAGTCGTGCAGTTGGCAGAATGCAACGGAAGATGCTCCGTCTCAGGTGGTGCAGGCGTTCGTGCTGCCTGTCGCCTGGGTGCCGTCCTCAGCTCCTTGCCGCCTGGCCTTCCAAAGAGTGGGCACTGAGGTCACCGACCCGGTGGACAGCATCCACCTCCTGCCCTCTCCACAGGGTTGGCGAAGACTTCCTCTTCTTAGAGGGGCATCTGTGTCCCCTTTGCTCTTTGCTCTTGGCTCCAGGAAAGGCATGCGTCCCTCTGTCCTCCATGCCAAACACACTGCGTGTCTGTGTGACTGTGTGAGCATGTGTTTGTGTGGGCACCCAGCTTGGCACCTTTTCAAGGGTCCCCGGCCTGGCTGCTGGTCCCAGAGTGGGAGAGGGCTTTGATTTCCTGGGAAAAGAGCTGCTCCAACACGCATCTGCATCTTCCTTCCTGAAGCCTTTAGGTTCCAGTGGCCGTGTGGCCACAGGGGTCAGAGAGAGCGCCGGTAGCCAAAGCCAGAGAGGAGGACGGAGAGGAGAGCGTGAGGAAAGGACAGGCGGACCGGTGGACAGAGCGCTCTTCGTTGCTCGTCTACTGGCCAGCAAATGGCATGCACTGGGACAAACTGTAGCTGCACATTTCCCCCGAGCAGGCAGATGGCTTCGGGGCCCCTGTCTCCTGGAATAGCACTATGAACACTACAGGGCCTGGGCTGACCATTTCCACGCACACTGGACCAGGCTTCCCGGTGGTGCACACAGTGTCTTGAGTCTTATAGGAGTCTATTCGGGAAGGACGAGGGACAGCTTAGCATTGTTTGTAGAAAATCCAGGCAGAGGGCGCGCCCGACGAGGCGGCGGCAGGGGCGTGGGCGGGGTGGTGGGGTGGGGTGGTGTTGGGGGGGCGGCGTGGGGCTGGGAGCCCGAGGCGGTCCCTGAGGAGGTGCACCGGCAGGGTCCCTTGCTGGCTGGCTGGCTCCCGTGGGGGCGAGGGGCGGGGCCGGCGGCGGCCACGCCCACTGCCGTGCCACAGGTTGGACCCGGGGGCCCGCCCGCGTCCTGGGCTTGGCTCGGGGACTCCATCCCGCCAGGGCCGCATGGGTGCCCCGGCCACGTCTGCCCCTTAGATACCTGCCCCCAGGCCCTTGTGCGCATGCGTCCCAGAGTCCAGCAGCCTCGCGGAAGAGACTCTTATCTGTCGCCGCCCCTGGGCGCCAGAGCCCCACCTGCTGAGCCGCTTGTGGAGGCCTGCGCTGACACCTCCAGCCTTTCCCTCGCAGCTGCCCCAGCGACGAAGGGTCCGGGGGTGGCGAGGCGGGGTACAGGGAAGGCGGGGCGGTCCCCAGAATCTTGGACCCGCCTCAGTCAGGGAAGGAGCCGTCAGTGAGGCTGCTGTGCGCTGGGATAGAGGCCCCCGGGGCGCGCCGGGGGTGCTGAAGGCCCTAGGTGTGGGGATGGCGGACGAGGCTGTGCAGGAAGGGGAGGAGCGATGGGAGAGAGAGGATTCCATCCTGGTGGAGGAGCTGGTCCTAGTGGTGGGGGACCTAAGGATGGTGCTGCAACTTCCCGTGTTGGAGGCGGAGGACGGAGAGGACGAGGAGCACACGGAGGAAGACACGGAGGAGGAAGATGAGGCTAGGGAGGTTGAGAAGTCGGAGGAGGAGGGGAGGGGGATGGTGAGGAAGAGGAGGCTGAGGAGGCGGAGGAGCCTGACAAGGTGGTGGAGGAAGAGGGGGAAGAGGCTGTAGAGGCTGAGCAGGAGCAGGGTGAGGAGGAGGAGGATGTAGACAGGGAGGAGGAGGGGGAGCCTGAGGATGCTGAGAAGGAGGAGGCTGAGGAGGTTGAGCAGGAGCCAAGGGAGGAAGAGAAGACTGAGGAAGAGGAGGAGGTGGAGGGGCTTGAAGAGGCTGAGGAACAGGAGGGGGAGGAACAGGCTGAGGAGCAGGCTATTGCGGAAGAGGCTGAGGTGGGGGAGGCTAAGGAGGAGCATGTTGGAGAGGAGGTGGCTGAGGAAGAGGAGGCTGAGGAGTGCGAGGAGCCTGAGGAGGGACAGGAGGCTGTAGAGGCTGAGGAGGAGGCTGAGCACGAGGACCAGATGGAGGAGGGCCAAAGGAGGAAGAAGGAGCACAGGAGCTGCAGGAGAAGCGGAAAGGGGAAGAACAGTAAGAGGCGCGGCGGGGTCCGTCCCCATCCTCGCTCAAGGCTCTAGAGGCCCTGCAGTCAGAGCTGGAGCCCGTGAATAAAGAAGCCAGCAGGTCCTACTCTCGGCTCAGGCTCAGGTTTTGTCAGAGGCGGCAGCATCATCTGGAACACCTCAGCGCCCTTATCCGGGGCCTCCCCGGGTTCTGGGCCAAGGCTGTATCCTTGACGCTGTCATGGAACGACCCCGATGTGGCCAGGCTAGAGCAACAGGAACCAAAAGGAGGGAACTGTTGGGTGTCAAAATACATCTGTTGGCGAACCCCCCCGCCCCAGCCACACCCCCAGGCCGCCTGGTTGTGATGGCCACGCTCATGCCCTGGTGATCCCGACATCCTCAACATCCTCGTTCAGGGTTGGTGTGGGGGCTGGCGGCCTCAGGGTGCCCTTGATGTCGCACGAGGCACTGGGGGTCCAGTGGACGGGTAGGAGCAGAGGTCCAGCTCAGAATTAGGCATTATGAGCCGGAGCAGTGCGTCTTCCCACAAAACGGCTCCAGCCCAAGCTCGAATTCCCTTCGGGGTAACGTGGCAGGCGAAGGGGTGTGACTGCTCTCCTGGTCAGCCTGAGGCAGGAATGTGTGCTTGTCCGGAGATGAGCTGGTTGTGTCTGGCCGTCAGCAAGGAGGATGAGCTGGGCAGGGGGGCGTGGGGCGGGAGAGGTGTCTCTGATGATGCACAGCCCCCTGTGTGAGTGCCGAGACATCCAGCATCACATGAGGGGGCCCAGGGGGCCATGACTTAGCCCCTGCGGCGGGAGTGCGACCCGGGGGAGCAGGGGGGAAGCAGCGCCCAGCGGCTGTCCAGACTTGCTCTGTTGTTGTAGCTCTTTCATCTCCAGCCCTCAGAGGGTCCTTGGCTTACAGCAGCTAGTGAACCTCTCCCAGATGTCAGCCATGATCAGTAAGCAAGATGAAGGCCTCCTTGGCTACATAACGGGTTTGAAGGTCTGTACGGCAGACTGAGGCCGGAGCGGGGGACGGGAGAGGGGAGCGTGCCGAAGGGATCCAGCCCCGAAATCAGGGCGGGGAGGTTCTGCTGGACAGAGATTTCACCCCCGTCCCCCCACTCTGCCACCTGGCAGGTGGAGGAACTCAGGGTTCCCCGTGATTGCTGCAAGATCCTGCTTTTCGTTCGCCAGAACCCCTACTTGCGGATGAAGTCGTGAAGGAGTATGCCCGCAGTGCTGCTGGTAAGAGGCTGCCACCTGGAGGGACGGCCGCAGGTGCTGGAGGGCGGGTCGAACCCAATTCATTACCCGGCGCCTTCTGCCAACCTCGTCTTCCGGCAGGGTACGGGCCGTCCCATTCCACTCCCATCCAGTGGCACCAGGATTATGAACGGGAGGCCTACAGTCGCAGGCACCACAACCCCAGTCTTAAATTCTTCAACTGGTTCTCTGACCACAGCTTTGCTGAGTCTAACAGGATTGCTGAGGTGGCGCCTTGTGACAAACAGCGGCAAGAACCCTGCTGGGCTCCCCGGCTGCTTGGGATGGGCCTCTGAGCCCTGCCCCGTTTCCCCTGCCAGATCATCATGGACGACCTGTGGCCCAACCCCCTGCAGTACTACGTGAGGAAGAAGGACCCATGAGAGGGAACCGAGAAGAGGACAGGTGAGGGGCCCGGGGTGTG